GATAATGTTTTAAAAAGTAGACAAAAAGACAAAGATGGAACTGAAAAACTTAATCGAGCAATCAAGTTTATGAAAACTAGCATCATTACACAAAAGAATGACTTAATCAGGGCCGCAAGTGTGTGGGTTGCAGGACAGATAGGTTTAAAGAAAATCACACATAGGAAGAAAGATGAACCTAGGTGGAAACGTAGAATCGAGGTAGATATTAAAAGATTGAAACAGGAGATTGACTTGCTGGATAGAGAAAAGAAAGGTGAACTTGGAAGAAAAGGAAACTGAAAGATCTGGCAGCAAAATATAGAGTTAAAAGAAAAGGGCTCAGAACTGTGATCGAAGAACTAAAACCGTAGATGACAGCAAAGAGCGCAAAAAATAAAAGATATGAGCAATCACTAACTCAGACAAAATAGGAAGCTTGATGTTGATCAGAAGATATACAAAGAACTGAGTGGATGTGGAATTGGTGCAAGTGATGTGCCAGATGCTGAAGAAAGTAGGTTTTGGGGTGATAATTGGAGCGTCGAAAAGGAACACAATAGAGAGGCTGGATGGCTAAGAGATCTGAAGAATGAGGGTACCGGCGAAGACCTTAGTGTTGAAAATGTAAAGAAACAGTGTCGAAGAATCCTGAATTGGAAAGCACCAAGGAAGGATGGTGTCCGAGGATGTTGGATTAAACACCTCAACATGAGAATAGGATACTGGAGGGTGAAGATTATTTACCTGCATGGACGACATATAGTCGTGCAGTACTGTGTCAGAAGGACCCTGCGAAAGGTGATGTGGAAAACTATCGCCTTATCACTTGCCTCCCTATGATGTGGAAGCTCTTTAGAGGAATGATAGCAGAAGAGATGTACATCTCTTTAGAAAGAGGGAATCTTCTGCTAGAAGAACAAAAAGGATGTAGGCGTGGGATCGTGGCACAAAGATCAATTAATTGACGTCTGTATAGAGAGACCGTAGGGAAAGATATACTAATCTGGCTATGGCACGGATAGACCATAAGAAAGCTGATGACTTTGTCCCTCATAGTTAGATTAGTGAGTGCATGGAAATCTTTGGAATTGCAGAGAATGTAAGAAACTTTTCAGCAAAGAAGTGTGGGTTAGTAGTTCTCATTAACATTTAATGGAGAAGACCTTGGTGATGATATGAAGAGGGGAATGTTTCATGGTGATAGTTTATCACCATTGCTGTTTCTATTGAGTATGATGCCAATGTCGTTAGTGCTTAGGAAGGCGAAAGCATGTTATGAATGGGGAAAGAAAGAAATCAAATTACATCATCTATTCATGGATGACTAAAGCTGTTTGGTAAGAATGAAGACCAGATACATTCACTTGTCAACACGGGTCACATCTTCAGTAAAGACATTGGGATGGAGTTTAGTCTTAGAAAGTGTAGGGTTCTTACCATGAAGAGAGAAAACATAGATGTGGGGGATAGTTCTCCCGAATGGCGAAGTAACAGAAGGTTACACATATCTGTGGATAGTCGAGTTGGATAAGATCAAAGAAAATGAGATGAAAGAAAAAATAAAAGGGAATACAAGAGAAGGCTCAGTTTGATTCTAAAATGAAAGCTGAATGGAAGAAACAAATTACAGTAATGAATACGTGGGCAGTATCTATCTCCAGACATGGGGCTGGAATCCTGGATTGGAAAGGATGTGACAGTGTGGGTATACAGTTATTTTTAGTACCTACCAATACTACGAAATTTTTGGGGAAAGCAAACTTTTATCAAAGTGAAGCAAAAGATACTGTAGAAACGATTATGCACTTATCAAGCAATAAGGCTTAGACACAGTCGTGGTATAGCAATATATCAATAAAATAGCAGCACAGGATGTTATGAATGTAGCTCAGTGGTCAAGTGAGTTTACTTTAATCCCTTAAAGTCAATCCCCGCAATTTTTCAAAAACAGAATTGCTCCCTTTAAAATGCTCAAATTCCAAGTCATTGGGGCTATTCCTGGAAGTGAGTTGGTTTAAAGGATTCTTAAATATTCAATCCCGAGGTTATGACGAAAACGGAAAATCGAAAAAAAAATTTTGAAGGATTACAATAACACTGAGCAGAGTCCTTTTTATGGTAAAGTTGTGCATTTCATGTGGAACCTATAAGGTAAATGATAACAGCTTAGTCATTGAAACATTTACATTTTTTTTTTTTTTTTTTTTTTTTACTGCCTTTAAATACTGGAATTACCTAGGAAACCTCTAGAAATCCGGAAATTCCAGACAAATCTGTCTGGAAATCCGGAAATCTCATACGCTATTTTGAGTAGCGAAATGCCCCTCGAAACAAAACTAATCGAATGTGACCAGAAAGGGGTTTATGAAGAACTAAATGGAAAAATGAACAGTGATGTGGTGCAAGATGGAGAAAAGAGCAAAGTATTTAGGAACGACATTTGGGGAGTGCCGAAAACGGATAATGGACAAGCAGAGTGGTTAGGAAAGGTAAGGAGATACGACGAGGGAATATATGAACTTTAAGAGACAATAATTATGGACATGGTGAACAAAGAGGTTAAAAAAATAATAATAAATATAAAACTAATTGGTAAGCATGAGGTCGAGATGGAGTGCAAGGGATCTGATTAAAGAAGTTCGAATCATCCAGGAAAGAATGGCAATACAATTGGATGAGGTACTAACTGGAAAGGAGGATTAGCCCAAGTGGATGACTTATGGATGAACTATTATGTGTACATAGGATCCCGCAAAAAGGAATGCAGTCGATAACTTTGGACCAATATCCTGCTTACCTCTAGTGTGGAAACTTTAAAACAGGCGTCAATATAGTGGAAAAGATGTATGAATACCTTAAGAAAGCAACTTATTGCAAGAGGAACAAAAGAGATGCCAGAAAAAGTAGTAGAGGAACGAAGGATCAACTATCAATGGACAAAGCCATCAGGAATTATTACAAAGGGAGACACACTAACT